GCTTAAATATTTGGTTTAAAGTAACAGTCTTACAGAAACCTTCGTACTTTGCTTATTTCAAAACTTCCAGAAAAAGTCGAGAGTTGCTGCTGAATTTACTTGGGATATCATGGATGTGAAAAAAGACCAAGATGTGAGGCTCAAAGTTGGATACGAAGTCATTGAAAAGGTAAATCATTTTGCTAATCTTCAAGTAGTGTACTCCGTCTCCCATCTTCCCACCAATCAATTAGTGTTGAAACAAATGTAGAGATATGGTTTGTGAAAATGGTCACTTGAGCTTCTCTAGCTCTCATCATAAATGCATGGCATTGTCTTGTACCTTTGAATCTCATAAATGAATATAGTATATACTATAGTGTTTTGATACTACATTTCTTGTCCAAAGAGATAAGATATAGTTCCGATGCTAGAAAGTAGAGACTGCACTTTATCTGTGTTGCATGCACAAGTGTTGCAGGTTCCTTACTTTCATGAAAAATCTAAGCTTTATTACCCAGCAAACAACAAAATTAAGTTGCTTAAATTGTCAAACATTCTCCTGCTGATAATTGGTGTAAGCTTTAACGAGGTAAGGACCTTCCTACTATGTTTTTGTACATGTCATTTCCATTATTGGGTTATGGTCTATACGTCGTCGTTTTTCATGTATTTCCTCTTTCTTACTATTTTGTTGGTCTGATTCATCTGACAGTTAGTTCCACTTTTGAGAGTCCATTGCATGTCTCTTGTATGGATCTCACCAACATGTTACCCTGCAGTTTGAAGTTCTGTTTAATTCTCTCTTTTTCCAGGTCCCTTACTTTCAGTTTAGTGAAAACAACTGGACTCTCACTGTCAACAATATTGGGAAATGGAAAGTAAGATATGATTTGTGATATTACTGATGGACGCATAAATTGTTCAGTTAGAGTGGTTATAATTGCTAGAAAGAAGAAAACCATCATCCTTCATCTGTGTTTCTATTACGTATTTTGACATTCTATCATTGCAAAAAGGCACATTACCTTGTGTAAGATCTGGTTTTGAGTATTGTTAACAGAGATAGTGCCATTGCAATACAAAATTGAAACTCATGAAAATTACCTTTCATTTGTGTAAGAAATTTTGCTCCCCATGTATGCTTGTCTGCATTGCCTCATCTACTGTGAAGTTAAAGCTAATACATATGATTCGGGAGCTGTGTTTCTGCACTTGGTTTCTTTAGCTGTTTTATTAGATTATAACAACATAGCAAGTGTGTCTGTTCGTGGTCACTCCTGCGTTGTCCCGTATAACTTTGTTCCTACTCCTACTTCCGTTCTACCTAAGTTTTATTCGAAGTGTGCATCGAATTTGAAGTTTGATCATTGATGGATAGTTAATTGGTGTAATCATTAAACATCTTATTGCCTTTTGTGAAGTCATATCTACAAGCAACATTCATTAGATTCTCTTGCATTCCACGTAAAGGAATCTTGTCAAATAGTAGCTTAGCAAGTATGATCCTTGTTTTGCCTTTGAAGTTTGAAAAATGCTTTTAGTTTATTTTATTTGATAGTTGTAGTAGAATATGAATCTTAGTACTAATACAGATCCTCAGTTGGATTTGTTGTGCATATGACATAATCCTTTTTTTTTAATATTGATAGAACATATCCACGAAATGTCAATCTAACTTGTGGATGGATGTCCACGAAAATGTCAGCTACATCATCTATTTTGAAATGTCTTAACCCTTCATTTGAGAAAAGGGCAATAAGTCAGGTACTATGTGATTGTGACTTCAAATCTTACATCTCTTTACGTGGCAACTTCCTCGCATTACAGCAGTTTCGTGTCAAATGTGTGTATAGTTTGTTCAAAGTCAACAACTTGAAATACATAAACCGAAATTAATTATGTTAGGCACAGTGACCTTAACTGAAAGGTTAAAAAATTTCAATAGGTGATGTCTTTAATTTTATTAGATTTTTTTTTTTAAAAAATAAAAAAATTCTGTTGAAATAGTAATATATGTGTGTGTGGGTTGCCTCAGGATCCCATAACCCTAAGAAGGTGACAAGCAATGTGTGAAGTTAGGTCATGTGATGGGTTCAAATGGAGGAAGTTGTGTGCCAAGTAATGAAGTGAGTGTTTCTCACTAAAAAGAAAAGAATGTGGAAGAGACAAACTAAAAATAAGATAAGATAAATAAAAAAGAGAAACGTGCTTGTATCTTTTCTTTTTTATAATAAACCAACAAATAACAAAGTGCCAACTTGTCATGTGCATAATAACAAAGTGCTTTGGTGACCAATTCACACTTCCTTCTACTGGTCTACTCCATCCACTATCTAACTCATTTTGCTTTTATTTGTTTTGAATTTGCAGACCTATTTAAAAGGAAAAATCTCTTCCTTGTCAAGCTCAAAATCATCTCATTCTTGGTTAAACCGTATTATATTTTGTAGTAACAACTTAGAGCTGACCCACAAGACGTTCACTTGAGACTTGTTTTATTTTTAAAAGAATATAATTCGTAATTTTGAAAATTATTATGGAAATAGAATAAGAAAGGAAGTAGTTAGTTTACGTTTAAAACTACTGTAATAATTAGGCTGATATATTAGAAATGTTGGCAAAATTTGCCTAAAAAAAGGGGGTGGGCAGTTGTGAATACTAATCCATAAGTAGTAAAGTTTGGTAGTTTTTCTGTAATTGTTGGAATCCAGAATTGCCCTACTGACAATGTTAATTTGTTATGGCAATTGCTTTTTATATCAGTGACTGACTTTAGACTACACTCACAAGTAGAATCAACAAAGAAAAATTGTAGATTTTTTCTCAATTATTTGGCCATGTGGAATTCACTCATTTTTCTATGTCGAGAGCAAAAATGACCTCAAAGAATAACACTGGACAGTGAAATTAAGATGTTTTATATAAATAACTTCACTTTATTACGATTAATCTTTTATCATTTCTTCTCTATGATAAGTATAACGATCTTGACTGAACGAATGTTAAGTAGTAAAGTACATGGTTAAACTCTTACTATAATTATGTCAACATCAACATGTCTATATCACAACCCAATTTCCCATGTGCTTGCAATCTAGTAGTAGTAACATAATAAAATCATTTCTATTAATCTAACTACTAATTGATGCTGTTTTCATCTTTTATATACCAAAAAAAAAAGAAGATGTGATGACTACAAATCAACAAACTCCATGATAAGTTGAATAGCTTAATAAGTACTTTATATGGTTCACTTAAAATTTGGCACACAACATAAAGCTAATTAGATTAAGTTAAACCCCAAAAGAGGAAAGAGGGTTATATATATTGCCTTTGAATTTATTTGGTACTAGCTAGGCTAGGCTTTTTACACTACTACTTCTACTTCACTTTAATTTGGTTCTTTTATCATCAATCATGTTCCTCTTATTGGCCTTTATGAAAAAGACTTTTACAAAAACAAATATTTTTGTAGAGAATAAATTCAAAAGTTATGATTCCAAAGTTTCATAGTATTGAATTACGTGAAAAAGTTCTTCTAGTTTATATTATCAAGTTTATATTTGAAACGGAACTCTTTCATTAGCTCTTGCAACAATAATTATGCTTCGATCATAAACAAATTGAAATTGACTACATACATTTGTACTATTCTATTTAAACTCATGTAATCATCACATCGAATAAATTGAAGTTAATATATATACGTAAATAAGTAATAATAATAATATCATAAGTTTTTTTTAATAAGACTAGACATATTCACTTATATCCACTTTTTTTTCCTCGATAAATCATAGTGCCATATATAAGTTTACATTGATTCCACAAAACTTTAAGCTTTTTGAGACAATATTCTTTCATATTATTTTAGGTCTATCTCATTCCTTTTAATACCTTTAATTATCTTAATTTTACACAAACAACTTTAGATATCTGCAAATCAATACAAGACATGATTAGACTATTATTTTAAATATCTTTCTCTCGTTTTATCCTTTGATATAATGATATTTGCACTTTTTAAAAAATATATATTAAATACAAATTCATGCATCTATATCTCTAATCTAAAAAATATTGCTATATTTGAGATTCAGTGGGTCACCTGATAAAATGATCACATGAAAAGATATAAAGAAGAAATATAAAAATATAATCTCAAATTGGTTAGGAGCGTGATTATAAACATGATGCTAGTTCATGCTAAACTGTCTCCAATAGTTAATAACTATTTAATACTATAAGATTCTATTTAAAAAAAAAATAGAAGAACTTCATTTTGATCATTTAATTATAAACTTCCAAAATTAGTTTAGACGTAAACTTTAAAATTGAAGAAGAGCTTTAAATTTATAATCATGATTAGATGTGTGCAAAAATCGAATCTATTAAAGTGTTATTGGTTTATTGTTATTAGGGTATTTGATTAATGATTTTATAAGAAAAATTATTGGGTTATCGATTCGGTATTGATTTTTAATATTGGGTTATTGGATAAATCAATAACCTATTAAGACTAGAAATTTACTACTTTTACTTGTACAGAAATATTATATATTCATTTCAATATCCTACTAGTTACTATATTTGTCCTTTAACCTTCAATTTACACATTACAATGACTTTGAGTTCACAATTTCACATTATACAAAACGTTCAAATCTAAAGTAAGAACCTTATTCTTATTAATTTCTCTTTGTGTTACTCCTGTATAGTTCTTTTCATGCTTGTTATTATTGTTTCTATTTTATGAGCAATTTGAAAGTTATATTGTTGTGTTTTTGCATCAAATTTGTTAAAAAGATCATATATTTGTTTTATAAGTATTATCTTATTGATTAAATCAAAAATCTAACCGTTAAGGACCAAAATCAGTAAATCAAAAATCGATAAAAAAATATGTTATTGATTTAAGATATTAATAAACGAAATCAATAATACATAAAATCGAACCAAATCGCAAACCCAAACCCTAACTCCAGCTTCATAAATTTCGGATCTAGCACACAAGAAGTGTGACTTTGACTCCATTCGTTTCCTTTCTTTATCCCAAAAATAATTAATAAGATAAGTATGTTTTACAAAAAAGGTTATTGCTTAAACAGTGTACGTGACTCCTTTATAAAGCTTAAAAAAAGAGCAACCAAAAATCAGATAGTTTTAAGCGCAACGTTTTGTTTCTCTCTTTTAATTAAGCTCCGACACATTCCTCATGAGTAATTCTGATCCATCACCGTCGCCTCCGTCGCCGTCTGCAACCACCGGGATCGGTAAAGTCGATTCTGACTTCGTCGTCATCCTCGCCGCCCTCCTCTGTGCGCTCATTTGCGTCCTCGGACTTGTAGCTGTTGCTCGCTGCGCCTGGATCCGAAGGATCTCCGCCAGAGCAACCGGAAATTCCGTTTTTTCGTCACCTCCAGCTAATAAAGGTTTGAAGAAGAAGGTTCTCAAGTCGCTTCCGAAGTTCAGTTACTCAGCTGAACACGCCGCGAAATTCTCTGAATGTGCAATTTGTTTAGCGGAATTCGCAGTCGGAGATGAAATCCGAGTGCTACCGCAGTGCGGCCATGGATTTCATGTAGGATGCATCGATACCTGGTTAGGCTCGCACTCGTCCTGTCCTTCTTGCCGACAGATTTTAGTAGTGACGAGATGTCATAAGTGCGGCGAGTTGCCGGTAGCAAGCTCCTCCTCGTCAGCTCCCGTAGCTGAACCGGAAAGCCGATTACCTGGAAATTATCATGTAAATGCATTTCTACCGTAAAAATTAGGCTGTGTGTATATATTATATTACTATATTAATTAAATCTTATGTATATTCATTCAGCCCTACTATATCAATATCATCAATTTTAGGGTTACATAAAACTACTGTTTGAATTTGAATTTATTAACAAAGATGATTACTGTTTTAATTTCTTGTTTAGCGGCCGTCAATCACCTTTCCGCTTTTTTTTTTCCCCCGTGAGCCATATTATTTTTGAAGAATATTGTCCAATGCATCTCCATTAACAATAAATCTACATTTTTAAATGTTAGCTATTGTTTGTACAAGTTGTAGTGGTGTGGTCGATAAAGTTGGTAAACCACCAAATTAGCTACCAAAAATGTAATCCCATTATCAATTATAATCAAATGAAAATGTTACAATTGACAAAGGATAGAATTAATTAACATAATAACCTTTAACTATTATAATAATAATTTTTCTCCTAGTGGTAAAATATTACTTATTCCCTTTTAATGGGAACCGTCCAACGTAGTAAATAGGGAGGACCCATGAAATCCCACTATTATTAATTAATTAATTAAAATGCCTGGTTCTTAGTTAGAACTTTATATATAAATATATATAGTCCACTTAAATAAAAATATTTAATCTAACTCGTAAATTCCTTGCACTTAGGGTTAGGTTAAAATTAAATTGGAAATTTTGTCACGATAATAAGGGTTGACGATAAGTATAAACGTCACGGAAACGTTAGACATGTGAAGGAGGAACAGTTTTTATGGTAAAAGGTAGAGTGATTGAAGACAAGAGTGGTTAAGAGCCTTTCCAGGAGGCATGTCTCCATTTCCTACTTCATTACGAAAAAATATTGGTAATAAATTAACCTTTGTTATTCAAAAAATAATTAGAACGATTGAGCACATGTTATTAAAAAGCTCGGAGGAAAAAGAAAGATACTAATTTGGACATCTCAAAATGGTGGACAAATATAGCAGTAATAACTATTGAGAAATGCCAGTACCAGATGGATGTAAAATGGAGGACACCTAGAGAGGATAACATTTTTTTATTTTCTACAAATTTTACTACATACTTGTAGTAAATCGGACAGAAGATACCTTAAAACTAACTACTCATGCTTTGCGATAGCAGCAGCTTGTCTTGCACCAACAGCAAAGAACTCTGTAATGACTTCTAAGGGCATGCCTTTGGTTTCGGGAACCCTTAAGAAGACGAAAATCCAAGAAATGACACAGACAATGGCATAAATACCAAACACGCCAGATAAACCAATCGAGTTGAGCATCACAGGCAGTGTGTAAGTCACAATGACATCACATATCCAGAAGACGAGAGCACAGATGGCGATGCACAAACCACGAACCCTAGTTGGAAAAATTTCTGAGCAGAGGATATTTGGGATGGGTCCATAGCCCGTCACAAAGAAACAAAAGTAGAGAATCACGCAAATAGTAGAAACGACTGCATGAGCTACACTCCCCAGGTTGACAGTGTTACCAATGACAAGACAGATGAGTGATAGTATGAGAACAGGAATAGTGTACAGCAGCAGCGACCTGCAAGTTATCATTTTAATGACACATTCTACAGCATAAAATAAACAATACAACGATGAAGAGTTTGTATTTTTTTTATTATAATCAATCAACAACAACATACACACCACTAGTGGCGTCTAGGGAGGATAGGAAGGTAGAGAGGTTGTTTCGATAGACCCTCGACTCAAGGAAAAACATTTTCAAACAAGTTTAAGATGATATATGGCTTGTGTATTGTCAAGCAGTAAACAGAAAATATATTAAGTAATACTAGTCGAAAAGTTGGTTAGACAGAGAACATCTCATCTACATCTAAACTGGATTAGTTTATTGAATTTGAATTATTGAGATGTATAAACTTTGAGTAACTAATTATTTACAGAATGATGTCATCTTTGTGGTGTAAATTGGATAGAGGGAATACTACCTGTCATGAAACACAAACTCAAAAACTAACCAATTTGAAATTTAGTCTCATGGAAGATAGGGCATCGATTTTCCAACCTTGGATATATATATATATATATGGCTTGGAAAAATTCCGAGGAGACTACTACAGCCAATATAAGGAAAAGATATGGTCCTACATGCAAATCGAGACTCACTGCACATATTTCATGGATTTTCCAGCAATAAATCTTGAGGACATAACCAAAACCATCCTTAATCTAATGCAGAAGAAAGGAATCAAGAGAACATTACCTTCTGCCAGCCACATCCATGAACCGCATTGCAATTGCTACAGAAGGGAGCATCAGGAAGTTTGTTAACGCACTGATGAGGAAGGATGCTGAGTCTGATGCGATGCCAAAGTTAGAAAGAAGAACTCCTACACCTGCCTGCTCAAGGATTTGAGGAGTGTAGTACATGACTCCATTTATACCAGAGAACTGCAGATAAAATATTACAGTCGTAAGATGGCAACATTCCAAGCCTTGTTGTCTAATGACAGTGAGCGCACAGTTTTGCCTCAATAATTTGGGATTATTAATTACAAGGTAGTTCTCAGTATAAAAACTACATAATGAAGTAAATACAGAAGAAGAGACTCCGTAAAGATAACAAAGGAAAATACACTAATGGAGAAAATAACTCATCCCCACCCTATCAACAAAGTTGAACTAAACACAAAAAAAAAAAACTGTAGAAATGTTTGTTGCGATTATAATAATGCTTCAGATAAAACACACCAAAATATTTTCTTAAAACTTTGTATCTGCTTCCAGATAAATGATATGAGGATGTACTGTCTAGTTTGGTCATGTAATCCTTACATGATCCTATGCTAATCACAATCACAACCCCAAGATACTTATATTTAAAGAAGAAACAGAATTCTCAACTCAAGGATATAATATATAAAACTAAGTCCATTTCGTATACATTCAAACACAGCATGCTGAAATTTTGTAGCTATCAAATTTAATCCTAGTAAAACAACCAAAAGAAGCAACAGAATGACGAAAGAATAATACTTTACCTGTTGCAATATTTGAATTCCAATTCCAACTATGAGCGCTCGCTTGACTCCTGGTTCAAGAAGAGCAGCCCAACTCGGACCTTTTGAAGCAGTTTCAGATGGATGGACCATTGCTGGTCCCACAGGATGCTGATCCATAAGTTCCTTAGAGTAAACTGCAGGCTGACTTACCAAAGCCGCAGCTTGTATGAATTCACCATCTTCATGAATATCGCCACCAGGAACTGAAACGAGAGACCCACGTCGAGAGCTAGGGCCCGCCTCCTGATGCAAATATATCCTTTTGAAGCCTCCTTCTTTAATTCCATCTTCACCTTCCCTTTCAGACCATTTCCATGCCAACTGCCAACCACCACCAATGCCCATGCTGCCTACACCCTCTCCAGCATTGCCTTGCATTAGGCTGCTATGCCGCCTCACGCTCATAGTGCTGCCATGGGGATGAGGGACTACGGTTTCCACAGCGGTTGTTTGACGTGATATCAATGGACTTTGTAGATTGTCATCAGAATCTGCACCGCCATCCGAAGGATAATCATCACCTTCTCTCTGCAGACTCTCCTCATCCCAGTGATCATCTTTGACATGAGGATCCATGGTGCTGATCATGCTTCCGAAATTGGGGAATAGCATGCTCCTCATACTTCCTGTATCAGGGAGCTTCTCATGGACACTACCAAATAGAGTCACAAGAGGATCCATAAGAGGCACACTCTGCTGCACCATGCTCCCTTGCCTGGACACAAGAGCTAGACTACTCTGTCCAGTAACTGGCTTGGCCACCCACGAGAGGCCTTCCTCTGGGCCGTACAACTTGATATGATCTTTGTCAGTAGCCAGGTCCTGATCCTCAGTAAGCTCATCAGCTGGACCAATGATATACTCTTCTATTGATGGTTCAATGCCAACAGCCAAACCCTCAACAAGCAATGCCATCTCCCCTATGCACAGAATAGTTAACAAAATCAATATGATGAAATCAGTGTCTTTAACAAATAGGAATCACGAGATGAATATGAAAGAACTTAAAAGAAGAGTGTTCTACTGACTAGAGAACCAGAAAAAGAGAGAGAGAGAGAGAGAGAGAGAGATGGTGAGCCTTATTGCCTCCAAGGAAATAAAACCTAAAAGGAAGGAATCAGGGAATATTGGATGGCGTTGTGTTTTGATATGGTATGATATAATGAGTGTTCTCCAGATCCTGATTTCTCACTTATATGGAAGTAACTAAAATAATTCATGAAAGATAGTAGAATCTGGGAGAAAGAAAATATAGAAAATGAGTGATTACAAATCAATAAGCAAATCTGTCATTTTTCATTAAAAAAATAAACTTTGAAAAGAATTTGACAAAGATAGGCACTGACTGAATAGTGGATAGTTAAGAGGGGTAAAAAATGGAGAACGATAAATAATAGAGGAAACTCAAGTTTAGATGCATTCCTATTTAGGGAGCTACTCCATAGCAGATTGTGAAATCAGTATGAACGTTACAAAAAGAGTTATACTAAATATTCATACCACTACTTTCAACGATCTAATAAAATCCCTGAGAAAGCACAATCCACAGTCAACATGTTCTGAATATTTAAACAGCCAGCTGACACAAAAGGGAAATGTTCCCAAAGAATAGCAGATAGCATACCTGAAACATCCTCTATGCCACGCAATTTCTGCAAAACTTGTTTTGCCTCGACCATTCTTCCTTTACTGACTAGCCATCGAGGAGATTCAGGCAAATAAAGTACAACTAATACGAAATAGATAAGAGAAGGAATTGAAAGAACACCCAACATCAATCGCCAACTCGGCGCTGTCATCAAGGACATTCCGAAAATCATGCAGTAGGCCAAGAACATTCCACCAGAACCAGTGAACTGTGGAAGAGTATTCAGTGACCCTCGTATTTCTGATGGAGCAGTCTCAGATATATATAGGGGGACCAGAGTAACCGCTAAGCCAATTCCAAATCCATCTAATAGTCTAGCTATAAGCAGGACATAGACATTAGGGGACCACAACATTATTAAGCCACTAAGGAAATAAAGCATGGATGACATAATAAGCATAGGGCGACGACCAATGCTGTCAGCTATGGATCCAGAACAAGTTGTGACAAGTGTGGCTCCAATGAGTGACATCGCAACA